CAAATATGGTTTCCTGTGCTTGATTGCACTGATAGCCCATACTTTTCTTCCATCGTTCGACAATCCAATAGCAATCTCTGTAAAAAAGATTGTTGAGATCCAGAAATTTTGCAGAGTTAGTTATTATTTCGTGCACTTTTGTGTAATGTGTGATCAGGCGGTCATAAAAATCTAACAGATTGACAAGACGTTGCCTTGAACTTCTCAATAGAATTTATTTATAAATATTATTAAAACCTTCATAAAAAGAGGGAGTCGGAAGTCGGAAATCGGTGGTTGGAAATCGGAAATCGGAAGTCGGAAGTCCCTCATCTGCTTTCGTAGTTGTGTCCCCTCGTGTGTTTTGTTTTGTTTTGTTTTTTTCAGTTTTCAGCCTAAACGTATGTACATATAAAAAAGCCACAGCTGTAGTTTGTCCTGCATAAATAACTGATACAGTGCCCTTTATTTCAACTATACAGTTTTATCAATTTATGAATCAAACATTATTGTATTGTCCCTCTACCAGCCAGTTGACAAATGACATTTTATTTATTAAAAACAAATTGTTCAGAATGTATAACATGTCACCCATAATGGAAATTTGATTTCTTTAACAATGACTTTTCCAAACATGCATTTTTATTATGGCGAAAAAAGCAAACAGCCCGCCCTTCTACACGATAAAAAAAACTGTTGTTGATAAAAACTGCCTTCCTTTATAATTACTTTTTTGTAGACAGAGGTATGTTCATTGTTGTGATAACACAAATCATTAGCTGAAAATTAAGTATGGAGCAACTGCGAGAAGAGTTAATCCTGTATCTTCTCTTAAGTTTAAACAATTATATAAATAATTTTACAAATGCGTCCCTTACGAAAAATGCTTAAAGGATTCGTTGAAGTGCAACGGACCATGCCAGCCACGCATTGTGTTTCATAGTTCCCTTAAAATAGAAAACAAAGGCTTTAACCAACCCGCAATAAATCACATATCAAATGAGCGGGAGATATTTCGAATCTCATTATCAAGTCAAATTTATGTGTTGAGATACCACGCAAATAATTAACCAGTCTAACAGACAGCGCAGTCGTTTAAGTCCTGCAGTAGGGACGTTTACACAAACTCTTTACAAGTTTAGTAGACTAAAATCGAAACTTGAAGAACCACGTCAAAGAATTCCAAGTCAGCCTGAATACGTTTCCAACGAGGATTCACACATTCCGTGGCAAGTTTACAATCGACGTTTTGCACTGAACAGAAACTATGTCTAAGAAAGGAGAGAAAGGAGCCAAAACATCTCTCTCGATTTTCTCGCTTTTTAGCTGTTGCGTTCAAGGCCGATCGCGTCCAAAAGTACAGACGAAAAGCACTGAAAGCATTGATTTGAAAGACGCTCCACCAGAAGAAGGAAAGGATGTGTTACAAAATGGAGAAAAGGGAGACAAAAGATCTGATTTGGAACTAGAATATGCGCCTCCAACGAGCGATTCTGTTGTATCACCAAGCGATGACTACAAACCAGCAAACTACGAGGAGGCTAGTACTGTCTCTGCAGCACCTTCCAGCGTCGGAAGTGAAGAGGATCCCAGTTACAACGCACCCGGGAGCGTGCAAGTTGTACAAGAACAAGGCGCAGCTTCGGGAGTTTCTAAGGAGATCGGGGTAGGCGGACGGATCAATCTACAGTTCGTTTATGATCCTCAGCCGTCCAAATTGACCCTCACTGTCCTGGGTGTAGAGTTTCCTCCATTCCAAAAATGGAAGATGGATGATTTGGAAGTGAGCTGCATGCTTCTACCAGTTCGCCAGCATAGTTTTCGCATGCGCCCCAAGAAGTTTAAAGACCCTTTCACCATGGTTCTTACACCAAAGGATAAGATCAATCATATGTCTCTGCGATTTCGGTTGTACGATCACCGCGGTATGTCCAAGTTCCTGATCGGACAAGGAGTGGTGAATCTCGGAGAGATCAGGCTTGGTCTGCAAGCAGTCACCATTGCCCTGGATATGAATATTCCAGATACCTACGCCATCGATTCTCGTCAACTCTCTAGCATTACAGGAGAAACTGTTCAACCGTCCTCAGAAGACAGCAAACCCGAGATCCTTCTTTCGCTAGAATACCGCTCACTGACGAGGAAACTCATCGCCGAAGTCATCAAAACACGTAATCTGGGCCTCCTGAACAACTCCAAGCCGCAAGATATCGCTGTGGAAATGAAGCTGATCGGAGAAAATAACCAGCTTCTACGCATCTGCCGAACAACCCTGAAGCGTCACGTTATCGATGCCGAATTCAACGAGATGTTTATGTTCCGCGTCACCTATGAAAAGCTGGCGAATATCGGCGTTACCTTCACGTTGTTCCGTGTAACGGAGAGGCGAGGAAAGAGAGAGAATATTGGCGAAGTTTGTTTTGGTAAGCAGTCAAGTAGTCATCAACAGCAGAATCACTGGAATGAAGTCATGAAGGGCAGCGAGAGAGTAATCACGCAATGGCACCCACTGTTTAAATAAGGTATGCACTAATCACATATTTACTGAATTGCAAGTAAATACCGGAGTCTTAAATACTACATGGGTTTACGGTCAAGTCGCTCGAAAGTCATCTCCCCCGAAACCAGAGTTACGTCTCCCGAAATTAAGTCCCAGAATTGCTGAGTAATGTCTCCCAGAATTTTATCCGTACTCAACAGCATGCTAGCATCTTTATTGCACATTCATCGCGCTTGTTTCGTCTCCTTAACTGAAGCTTAAAGAACGAAAATTATTGCGCTTTTATCCCGCTGTTTCGTTTCATCAATGCTTAAAGAGCGCGATTAATAGTTACACATTTACCCTCACGATGGTTTAAAGAACGGGATATATATTGCACACACACTTTATTTATCTTCATTTCTCTGTGTAGTACATCTGATAAAATTTTCGGGAGACATCGTTCAGCATTTCGGGCGACATAACTTTGGGAACCACGACTGGTTATTACTGCGTAATTGGTATGATCCCGTATTGTTTTTAAACTTTGGAGTCATCGTTTTTTTTCTCTATGGTCAGTATATTATTAATTTCAAAGCTTCCCAATGACTTATATTATTTCTTAGTAGCAACTTTTTTAATATAAAGTTTAGAACCCTTTCATTGTAGTTAATAACTTAATTTATTCAACTCTTGACAAGTTTGAAAAGTCTTTGAAGTTTGTCAGTTAAGCCCTTATTGTCTTCCATTTTTGTATTTTCGACAAAACCTGTCTTCGTGATTGTCTTTCTAGTACAATATCAAATAATTGCCAAACATTCTAAAATTCTTTTGTTTGAATATGCATTTATTTGTTTTGAACTTTTCAGAGACAAATTTTATCAAAATTTAAATTTGATTTGTTTTAGAGTTTTCTTGAAGTCTGTTCCAAACATCCTTTTCTGTTGTATGTTAATGCATTATACGTCCGCTGCCGCTTGTGAGTAGGCCAATTGCTGGACGACATCATGCATTCATGAAATGAAATTTTCGGTGTAAAAAAGGATTTAATGCATTGTGTTATCAATCCTACTTTTGCCATTTTCTCTCAAGGGAAATTAACATATCATGGCCCCGTCTACATGAATCCCAACAGTTTTGAAGCCGCAAATCTGTTTACCGGATTTGGACCGGGCTTTATATAACTCATGAGAGCGGTTTCAAAAAGATGCAGTTTTGGTAAACGGATTCACTGGCTTCTTGTCAGGCAGAAGACCGTTTCGTTTAACAAAAGATGTGGTTTTAAAAATATCCGGATTCGTGTAGACGTGCCCTTACATGCCGCGTAGAAAGGAAACCACTGAGTTAAACTTCCTTCCTTCCTGTATCACAGGAGGGAAACTGCATAATAGTGGTAGCTAATGGTATCACAGGCGTCCCAAGCTCACGAGGCAAGACTTACATTCCGCCCTCTAAACGTGAGCTTGGGTCGCCTGTGACAGTATAGCAAGTCTTGACATTTCTTATGACGCAAGAAATAACTTAGGAAATTTGAGAGGAATGCACTCTAATTTAGAGGTTTCATCATGGGTTTTGAATCAACATGCATCAATACCCTTAGGCTATTGATGCTTTATTATGTTCCAAAAGAAAATTCATTGAACAGAGATGTTTTGCGCGTTGTCAGATCAACTGCTTCTTCTTTGTGAAAGTCAAACTTTTCTTTTCTCTTTCTCTTTAGATCACAGATGAAGGAATTTTATAAAACAGCCAAAGCGACTACTCCAGGAATGTGAATTTTCAATGCCTGTTTTAAAATACTGTAAATCAATAAAAAAAATCAGTCATATCTTTATTTCAATTCGGATTTTAGAGCAGTATTTCTGCTGGTATCTCCGAAAGAGAAATAAATAGAGGATATTACATGGCCGCGCGGAGATACGAAATTTCTCTTCGAGTGTTGAAAAATTATTCACGAGTGACCGCAGCGAACGAGTGAAATATTTTTTTCAACACGAGAAGAGAAATTTGGTATCTCCAAGCGACCATGTAATGTTCTATTTATTATATAAACACCAATGAAATGCCAAACCAGTCTACTTAAATAGTTAAATAAGGCGCGGTTTATTATGAAGCCATAGCAATGGTGATATTTTCACATGTAAAGATAACATGTTATTTTCGCATGTGAAGATATCAAGTTTTCGCGCGAACGCTCACTTGGTTTTTTATCGGTGTTTATACAATAATAGATAAAATGAAATGAATTTGATTGAAGGCCGCGGTCCTTATTAGTAATTCTTAATATTACGTAGAAGCAATGAGATGTTAAAAGTTCCAATGTCTTGCTTTTTTGCTGAGATAGAATCGTCGTTTTCTGGACGGTGTAAATTAATCAATTATTGTATCGAGTTTTTTCTTATAATCCTCGAATAAGCGCCTTACTTCTGTGATTAGGTGGGGCGTTTATTGAGAAGTATGCTTTCATCTTCAGCTTTTAATCGAGTAAATACGTATGCGACGATCTTCTAACATATACTCTTTAATGGAAACAAGTTGTGAAAAATGATGCTTTCTTCAAAGTTTTTGCAAAGACATTTTTGAAGTTAAAGATACGGCAAATAAAATTTCAACCAAAACAAAAGAAAAACAAAAAAAGGGAGACCGAATAAAAAAAAAAGATGTTGTAGTGCAGAACGCTAGGAAATATAGTTAAGCTGCGCCTTCATAGAGATGAACTGTAATTAAGGAGTTGTAGCTGTTTCTTTATCCTTAAAGAAAGCGCAGAGACTGCATTTCAGTGAAATGTGTGATGGTCGACCAGGGCCGAATGACAAAAAGTCCAGTGAAACCACAATATACCGCTCCCTTACGGTCACTAGTTTCCATTTCTCACTCCCAAATATCAGACGGATAAACGCCCAAATAATAGACTGATTTAGAAACAGGACGGGAACGTCAGTTGACGACGGCGCGCGCAGATCAAACAACTGGCTTGACCAATGGCAGAGCGGCAAATTCGGCACCGAAAGTCGTGTTTAGTCCTTTTCGCGCGCTTTCCCGTCGTCACTGACGTTCCCGTCCTGTTGCTAAATCAGCCTATTATTTGACGTATACGGTGGGCGTTCTCGCGTTTGAGTGTGTGAAAGGGTTAGCACCTAGTTACTTGAGTGATCGTTTTGTGACAAAATCCACTTTTTATGATTGCACCACAAGAAATAAGGACTATCTTAATATCCCAGCTTATCAATCGGCCGCATGTCAGCTAACTTCTCTATATAGAGCAATTAAACTCTGGAACTCATTGCCGCGTGCGATCACTGCTGCAGATAGCCTGCGTACTTTCAAAACGAAACTTAGAGAATTCCTTTTCGAATCATTTCTTGTCAGCTAGTTTTTATCTATTTATGTAACTTTAACGTCTAGAAATTTTACCTTAATATGAATTATTTATATGCTTTTATTATATAGACACGAGTGTTTTACTGGAAAATATACCACTCGTAAAATTCATAAAAACTACATCCGGGACGCGAGTGGTTTATTTTTCATAATCTCACACGTGAGTTTATCGATGACGTAATTTCCGTAATTTCCACCCGAAATTTGTTGGCTTGCGTCTTTTGAATTTTACTGACACATTTTTCAAAGCTTTGCTGATATTTTACCATTGTAGAGCCCTATTCAGCTCAGTGTTATTCCTAAAGATTATTGTAAACAATGTCTTATATTGCTGTACTGTAAATTTGAGCCGTAACAATTACTTATGGCGAATAAAAATCTATTATTTTATCGATGTCTTTTTGTCTATATAATAAAAAGAACCTTACACGGTGGCTTGAAGATATGAATTTTATTTTCTGGTGTCAAAAACAATATTTTACTCTCTCGCTGCGCTCGTTCGTAAAATATTGTTTTGCCACTCGAAAATAAAATTCATGTCTTCGCACCACCGTGTAATATCCTCTATATATACGTTGGGTCTGAAAAACCCTGACCGGAAGATTCAATAAAGTTTTACTTTACTTTACATTGTGGACACCTAACTACCTAAAACTGACAAAAAAAAACTCGAAAACCCTGCTCGCGCCTTTAATTATTCTAAGAATTACACGGGTGACTGTTCTTACAGCTGTCAGTTCTAAAAAGGTTCTGAATGTCCACTTTTCTCACCTGGTTCTTAAAAGAAGCAAGCGTTACAGAACTCTTTATGTGTATACTTAGTTTGAAACATATTACAGAGCCAGTATATCTAATGTATAGAGTTAGCCAGGGCTAAAAGCGAAGCTCTCGATAATATTTATAGTTTATTCAAACAAAATATAAAATCGTGTAATGCTAAGCGGCGAAGGCATGCTACGCCGGAAAACAGTGAAAAACAACAATAGGTCTAATTAGCAAAAAAGCAACTTTGTACGTGCAACACACTTTTTTTGAACATTTCTTCGCCGTTGTTTTGCACAACTACAACGTGAAACTTCCAGAAACTTGTTAGTTACACGTTTTATGGAGGAAATGTCGTACGTAATCCCGTTCACTTTTCTTCACTGCCGCTCATTTTCACCTTGCATTGGTGGCCGCTAGCATTTCTCATTTTGTCACCGCCGCTACCAAATTTTCGTGTTGTTCTTCCAACAAAAATATGTCTCCTTTGTTTTTTACCTCTTGCTCTAAATCCCTGTCGCCCTTTTTCTCGTTGAGCTTCGCTGGCCTGCCGCCCACTTTCTCTTTTTCTCTGTCTTTCTCTTGCTCTATATTCCAAATTTGTGGACATGACAATTTATCTAAGCTTAATACTTTAGACAACACAGATAAAGAAACAATTTCCGCTTTCCGTTTTCGTCTTTACTGACTCCTTTGTTGTCTCTGCTTTACAAGACGTCGGTGGGTATTGTATTTTCCGCCATTATACTACAACATGAGAAATTTCTGCAATTTGATTGGCTTAGAGCAGTGGTATTTCAGCTTAATTTGAAATACCTACAAACCTTTTGCGGGTAGTAGTATAAACAAAAAATAATCTCGAGTTGCATTTTGGTTGCCATACCTGTTGATTGAGTTAT